AAAGAATTTTTCCGGAATGTTCAGCTGTTGGGTCGTACCAGGCTCTCTGAGGATTCCAGATCCATGGCCGAAACTGTTACGTGCTATAGGGTATGATGCTTCTCATTTTATGGCATTTAGTCCAAACTTGCTCTAGAACAGAGTTGCGAATAGTGCAAACTATGTTGGGCTGGTTGAGTGGATCTTATAATTCTTTTGATTCAGAAACGAACCCGACTTCCCCGTGAGAGAATTCCTCTTGATTGCCCCAAATTCCCTCAGGTCTTGCAATTTTTATGAGAACTATAGATAATATCGAGAAAGGAATCTTTTCTATATAGCAGTTTAGGCCAAGTTCTGGAAATTTTTCTATATCTTACCTTTGCTACTTCTTGTGTTATGGTATTTAGTCCTCACTCACTTACAGAGCATTGTCACAAGTTGGAAAAATTGTCTGTGTTTGTTTTATGACTGAGCCAGGTTAATTCTGGTCCAAGAAGTCGTCAGCCTTGTCAAATACTTGTAAGAGAATTTCTTCAGAATATTCTGTCATTGCGATTATTTCCCTCTGGAGCATGCCAGATTCTATGAGTATTAGAGATGATAACTTAAATCGAGATTATGGCACAAACGATCGCTAAAGCTTAGAATATGGTGTTTGCAGTTTTACGCAGTTTGGTACAAACTCGCTCATAGAATAGAGTTGCAAACAAGAAGAAAAATGGAATGCTGGTTGTATCACTTAAGTAGATTAACTCCTTGATTCTGAAATCTGTCTTTCTAAGAAACAAGTTACAAATTCCTTCGGTATAATCTTCATACGATGCTTCGCAAAGATATAGGACTAAGTTCTGTCTTTGTACACAGACATTTATGCTTTGCAATTTTTATCTGTAGTGTTTTTTCCATCAGGGGGGAGATTGTCGCAAATTAGAGATATGTGCGTATTAAATCATATAGATGTGAAAGGCAGCAGATTATGTGAAGATAAGTAGACATTGTTGCCACACCAAAGAGATGTGATACGTTTTCATTAATGTATTTAATGCCCTGTATGCGGTTAAAGGTCAAAACGAACAATCAAAAATAGTATATTTCTCCTGTTTTTCATTCTCTGTCTTTGCTCGGTATTGCAGTTTAGGATCTTCGATTATCTTAGACATAAAAGTATCTCGAGTGAGCTCTGCAGTAACATCCACGGTGTCTTTACTCTCGGCAACTTGGTAACCACAATCACTCTGTAACTGCTTGATAGTCAAGAAAAGCTCTCGTTCAAAGACGATTATCCTTATATTTCTTCCACAAGTTACTGTATATTTATCAAAATGATATAGCGCATATATAAAAAATTTTCTCAACCGAATTTCATAGTTTTAAAGGGGAATGCGGCGAGCGTTTTAGCTAGCTCCTAAATATTTAAATTTGATTTATGAATATCAAAAAACTACTTTTATTCAACTTTTGGTATTTATCAACATTTTCTATATTTTTTTCATTGCTTATCTTATAAAAATTAAATAAATTAGAATGTGTTTTTTTGAGTTTTAGAAAGAATTTGGGGAATGACCTTCTAGCAGTAGCGAAAGGAATGCATGGGGGGATGGTTGAGAACCACTGTGCTAAATCAGTTAGATAGAGATACCCAAAGAAGATAAATGTGGAGCATATCTCTTATAAATTCAGTACTAACTTTAAGAACCTTTGCATTAAAATGTAGGTTTTGTCTACGGAATAGATAATAGTTAGAAAGAAGATGCAATGATTACTGGCTCCTAATCTTTTATGTAAGGCACCGCATTACCGACGTTCATAAATAAATGTAAAAGTAATGTATACGAATTTTGGAATTTCCAAGTATTTTCTTACGTGTTTGGCATCAGTAATTCTTGATTTATGATGAAAGCTTTCAAATTTTCATTTTCGAATGTTTGTTTTCCTAATGAAATTTTCTCTAACTATTTCTTGCGTAATAATTGCTTCGCAAAAGAACGCAAATATTTGCAGATGTTAATTCTCCTGGCAATTTCAAATTTTGGAATTACAGACGGTTGTTACAATGTTTTTCCAAACAATTTGACTTATATTATTATTTTGACTTATATTATATTACAATACTATACTTCCTTCCAAATAAATTTATTTCAACACTTTTTAACTTCATTTTTCCATTTCACTTTGGTCTGTGTTCGTGCAAAACATTCACATATTAAACCCAAATAACTATCTCTCTATTTTAACTGGGGGGGGGAGTATTCGTATTCATTACAAACCTTAACTGATTAAATTTGCAAGCTAAGACCAGGTCAATGCAATTCAATTATTTACCTATTTAATCTAATGAAACAAATGCCAAATAAAAAATTCAGTTTTTTTTTTTTTTTTTTTCTATTTTCCAAAGAGAAGCCTGTCATCTTTATTTAAAGAAATTAGCCTCTTTCGAATAAAGCAGCGAAGCCACAGTTTTAAAAAATCATTAGCAATTAACAGACGAAGTTTAAAATTTTGACCTTCTTTCAATTTTACCTTCTAAAGTCTAGAGTTTGGGAAAAAGATCTGTAAAACTTTATATAATATTTTTAAAATACAGTTATAAGATATTTTCTCCCTTCTTTCCTCATGCTTTCGTGATGTAATTGGAAGCATACTCGATGCGTATTCGAGAGGTACAGGGTTCGAGTGCGGGAGAAGACACTGCACGTTTTTCATGTCTTCTGCTTCAAAAAAACCTAATCACTCTACACCCTGTTTATTCAAATGCAAGATCATCATTTTTATCATATTTTTGCTCTAAAATTTGGTGAGCTCTTTGGTTTAATATATGAAATTACATAATGAATGAAATCAGTTGAGTTATCCCATGTAGAATAGTTACCCTATTTAAAGGCAAAACAAATTAAACAGGTAATTATAGTTCGACCGTCTGGAGCGCAACCCTGGTTGGCATTCTGCCACACACATAGACTCGTCCAAAAGGGGCGGTATTACATGCTGCGACATGAAAGGTCTTCTCTTCCCCGGAAAGAACTACTTATGCTGGAGAGAAAGAAAGTCCCCATCCTTCCACCCTATTTTGAGAATAATTGGGTCCGAATGGCGCATGCGTGTTTGCGCTCATGGTCGCGGATGAGGCGGTCGAACTATACCATATATGTAAAATGCCTAGTTACCTCTATTGATTATTGGGAAAGCCAAGAGGATCGCCACGCAGCTCGCCCGTGCGCGAGATTCGAGCTTCGGACCGAACTACCAGTGAACTACGGATTTTCCCGCTCGACTGCTAGATTGATTCTTCAAGGCAATGTTTGTGAAACTTTTTTCACATAGACACCATACTTAAAAATTAGAATGTCTTATTCTTTTCGAAAGCAATTCTTTTCAGCATTTGTTACTATTTTAGTGTAGTAATATTTTTAAAATACAGTTAACAAAAATGTATTTTTATATCGCTATTAAGTAATGAAGTCAACAGAAGAAAATTCGTATTCGTTTTCAATAATTCAAGAAACTAGAGTTTGGATAATTTATCTTATAAGCAGAAAGTTAAGTAAACTTTGGTGCTCACATAGATGAGTACATCGAATCTTGCACAGCTGTTTTGCATTTGATGCGTGCTCGTAAAGGTTGGCATTGGCGCATACATCCAATCTTTTGTTTGAGTCGGTAAAGAAAAGCCTTTCTCATGCAGATACTCAAAAACAAACTGAAATTTTAAAGCACAGTTGTGCAGTTTGCTATGTTTATTTTAAACGATAATGAGCCCAGCAGTCGCCAGATGAGCAGCGAAACGATGGCGAGAAGCACAACAATCATGGAGCTTTAAATTCCGCTTTTGTTGTTAAGGCTAAAGTGGGAAGTCCATAGGTAGGATAACTGCAAATAAATTTCATGACAAGTCTTTTTTTTTTTTTTTTTTTTCCAAGGGAAAGGCATCGACAAGTGTCTTGCATAATTTCCAAACTCTGAAATTTTCAGCTATAATGTGTTGCTCAATCTAGGAGGACCATAAGGGAAGGCTTTGAAGAACCCTGATAGTCCGGGGACCACAGACTGCGAAATGTTGGTTTAGCCTATCTGCCTACAGCAGTAGAAATGATTATTAGGGAATAGAATATTTTTAGGGTGGTTTGTTTAATGCGTACCTGACTGTTTTGTTCTTGCATAGTAAAATGCCGGTAGATAAGAACTGTTACATTAATTACAATTATAATGCATTTTATTTCTCTCAAGTTGCGAATATACCTTGTCCTGGACTGTCATTAGTATTACTATGTTATTTTGTAGTACAGAGGAACAAGCATAATAAATGTACTAATGCAATGTTTGAGAGCAAAATAACAGGAAAAGTAAGAGGCATAACATAGTAATTTTAATTAGAATGGTATAAGATTATCAGGCGTTTTCGTTGTTTTCCACGTATGTAGCGTAGATGCGAGCCAGTTTCCCTTAAAAGTCCTCCCTTTGGCGAATACTATACTATAACGTGCGTCTTCGTAATCAGATATTAATAATATAATAAATAATTTGAGAATTTCTGATTAAATTGTAGGTTTGTATGAAACTTGAACAATTCTTCTGCGAAGCTGTAATCACTGTCTCTGATTTAGTTTTCGCTAAGGTGAGTGTTACGACCCACTCAGTTGAGAGTTATAATGGTCTTAATTTCTTTATTAATTCTGTAATTTAAGAATCAATATCTTTATTATAATACTAATGATGAATTGTACTTTACTGTTATCCAAAATTCTGAAGGCTCGGTTTTCATGTAAATTTGTAAAATATTAATTGAGTATTTTAAGATTTATTATTGCCTACTTTTGTATGTTATAAGAATGATTCAGGTGATAGAACAGTGCTAACGCTGTCCGCGCATTCTTAAACGAAATTCGTATTCGGCGGCGTTCGCTGTTGCGTCACCGATCGAACGGCCATTGGTTGGTCGGCCGGCCGCGTCCTCCGTCGCCATGGAGACGCTCCGCGCTCACCCCTTCGACCCCGTCCTCATCTTTTTCTCTCTTTTTCAGTCCAATCCGGAAGAGGAGGAGGATCGTCTGGCCCATCACGGGGAGTCCGAATTCGAATCCGAAGGGGAAGAGGAAGAGTCCGAGGACCCGTCCGGAGTGAACGCCATGAGCCAGCTGCACGTCACGGGTCCAGACCCCAACAATATCAGTTCGGACGACATCCTGCTCGCACAGATACGACGGCGACAGGAGGAGGCCGAAGAGCGAAAGCTGATTGAGCGCGAGATCCGAGCGCACAATGAGATGCGGATCCAGCGGGGGGAGGACGCCGGCTACTTACCTTCACCGCCGACCAGCAACCACCACCTCGGCGGCGGCAGCAGCAAGTCGACAACGCCGTCTCCGTCTTCTCCGCCGCAGACTCAGTACCTGTATGCCGCCAACCACCCATTCGCGGCCGCTTTCTTGAATCCGCACATGGCTGTCGCCGCGGCTGCAGCTGCCCAACAGGCCGCAGCAGCTGCCGCCGCCGCCTCCTCCCACCACCTACCCCCGACTCATACCCTGAGCGGGGGCTCCTCATCGACGGGCTCTGCAACGCCCCCCAACAACGGCATCAGTCTCTCGTCCCCAAGAGGACCAGCCAGTGACCAGGACCAGTCCAAGTACACATTCGAGGAGCAGTTCAAACAGGTGAGAGCGAAGGTAAAATCTCATCTCTGTCGTTAAAGTCAGAACTAACTCTTTTAACATCGCGGACAGCACAGGGATCAGAAAAATAGTCCTCTTGTTTTAGTATAGCAGAACTCCACTTTTCCGTATTTCTCTCTAGGCCAAGCAAAATTAGCTTGTTGTTAAATTCTTTACCTGCGTTTAATTGTTTTATTGTTTTAAGTGATGCAAAAATTAATGCTTTGCTATGTATATTTTTATAAAGCTGTAAGTTCGGGAGTGGGAGCTGTTCTGAAATGCTTTTATATGTGTAATATGTTACATGATTCTGTATGGCACGTAGATTGGTCTGTAGTATTCCAGAAATATAAACATTTAAAAACCTATAATATTAAAAAAAACATTTATGAAAAAACTTATATATCCGGTCAGTCGTATTTTAAAGAAAATTTTCAATTGGATGAATGCTTTCGACAAAGAGATTAGCTTAAAAATATTTAGCAAATATTTAAATTATAAACATTATAATGACAAGAAAACAGTTAATTAAGCAAGGGATATAAAATTATTATTATCATCTGCTTATTTCCGGAATCATTGCTCAACTATCCTTGGAGTTTATTAAATTCCTACTCTTGGCTCACATTCTCCCTATATCTTGTTAAAATTTTCAATCATTAATAAAATACATTTTATTCATCAATTCAAGTTCAAATACATTTTTTTTAACTTGTAGTGGATGACACTTGATGTTAATACAGTTTTTTTCACACATTGAAGTCAATTCCTACTTATTTATTCCTGTTTATTGGAACTAAAGATATGCTGTTTTTATTAAATATATTATAAGACTGACAAATAATGACCATTTATTAGGAATTCTCACGTGCTGTAAATATTAATTTTATAACCATTTAAAAATAATAGTACATGACTGAGATAAATGAGATTGTAATATTTAAGAAAAATAAGTGGCAACAGTAAGACAGAGTTCTAGTTTTTTAAAGTATATGGAATTCAATACTTGTAGAGTTGGACGAAGCAGATATAAAGTCCCTTTAATGTAGCGAAAATTCAATAGTAATATATCTAGGACGAAAACTCTTCTCAGCAGATCAAGCATTTGTCGCCCTGAGTAGTGTGAAAATCCTTAGATGGAATATTAATTGAAGAACTGGACTGCTCGAAACTCACTGGAAATGTTCCTTGCAATACTAAAGCATTACAAGATATGAATAGAATGAGAAATTATAGACAACCAACAGCTTCATAAATTAGAAACGAAAAAAATGTTAATAGTGTTAATAAAAAGTAGCTAAAATTAATTTTTTTTTCATTACTTGTTTTCTAAATCTTGGTACAATGTCATTTCATAATTTTTTGTGTGCAGAATACAGTAGTCAGTTATTTTCCAATAGTCTTTTGAGGTATTTTGTATTATTTGTTGTTGATTATTTTTTATTCTTAAGCAGAGAGTGCCAGTTTATATAAGTATAAAACGCATTTTAAATTTTATAATCTCTGTTCAATGCAGTTAACGGAAAAATAAAATTCAATCGAATGCAGTATAGTAAATACGTACTTCACGACAGGGGGAAGGACAATTTTATAATCCGAAATATTTGGATGAGTTAATTTCGTAGCCTCGATAACTGCATTTCTGCTGTAATTTTAGGGCCCTTTCCTTAACTGCAAAAATTCAAAAGAATCTTTTAATACAAGGATAGTAACACTAAACCATGAAACATAAGTGACAAGCAAAAACTGATCCGATATTTCAATTACATTTTATATCGATATCACACTTTTTACAGTCTTTATGCTTGAAATAGGCGAAACTTCAGTCTGCATTATTTGGCGACTGTCAAGGAAATTAAAGTGAAATGGTGTTTATTTTCAGACAAAATATTTTTTTTAATAACCTTTTAAAATTGTTTTTTCCTTCATATTGCCATGACCAATGATTTTTTTTTTTTTTTTCCCCTGATATTTAACTAGTGGAAAAAATGAGCTGTTTATAAGGTATAATAAGCCATTTATAAGATAACTCATCAAAAATATCAGTTTCATAGTTCTGAAATTTTTTATTATGTTAATTATTTTAATTAAGGTTCAAAATGTTAATTTCTAAGACAGTTCTTTTTTTTTTTTTTTTTTTTAACAGATTGCAAACACAATACAAAAGTTGCAATCATTTCTTACGCCAAAAATATTCAGTAGAACAATCTCTTCATAATTTGCCTACCTTGAGCAATTACCAGTTTTTAGAGGATTAATAGAAGGTACAGAATATTTCATTTTGGAAATTTGCTCATTGCATTATCTACTAATGGATATCTTTTACCTGAACACATTAGGCGAGGTGGTAAATGTATTACTAACAAGGAAATGCCGAAGAGTTACGATATTTGTAATGAACGTCTATCGTATTTCATGAGTAATATCGTCCATCGTATGCAAGATAAAAATTAATAAAGCAACAAAAATCGTCAATCGTAGCAAATGTCTTCATTATAAAATCCTTTAATCGATTGACTGTTGTTTAACCTACCATGAAAGAGATTTTCAAGCCAGTTTCTTTTCTGTGATTTCACAAGCAGGTTTTTCTCGAATTTTAAAGTCTGTTGATATCTTTTTTTTTTTTTTTTTTTTTTTTTTTTAACCATTCGAAATCTGATAAATATTTAATTTAGTTAATATTTATATTTAAATTACAAAATATTCATTTCTAATTTTACGTCTTCAGCATTTAAATGTTCGTATTTAAGGGGGTTCAAAAACCCTCGACGCAATTAAAAATTAATTTCGAAAAATAGAAGCAATAGAAACACAAAATTTACAGTTATTTTTAAGAAAGAGTTCTTGTTTATTGTAGCTTTACTAAATTTTAGAATATGAAACTTTTTTTTCCTTGCTTGAAGCATATATAGCTATTATTCATCTTTAGTCTAAGTACAGTCTACTAAACAGATTACGAAAAAAAGTTCCGAATTATCTGGGATTATCTAGTTTTTAGTTCTGAAATAATTTTAATGTGCAGCATTTTCACTCTGACATATCTGCCAATAGAAATAACCAAGAAGTGTTCTACTTGAAGAATGGGACACATCAAATGAAAGCGTTCCATTCCCCCCTTAAACAAACTTACCTAAAACTTATCTGTTGGAAAATTCTTTCGCTAAATTGTTTCGCGCAGTTTTACTTCAAAGGTGACGTGTCCTATATTGCCTTCCAAACGCGCGAAGGTAAGTAAGAAATTTGAGAGCCGGTGAAATCGACTGTATTTTTTGGGACATTAAATTCCGTTAAAAAAGGTGTATTCACAATATAAAGCTTATATAACCATTGTTGCTATCTCTGCAAAATTCGTGTGTCAGCATTTTATGCTTTTTTTTTTTTTTTTTTTTTTTTTTTTTGCAAACACATTTTTAAACATGTCATCGAATTTTGAACGGTGTCGTATCTAGTGCGATGAAGAATCGATTTGAAGGTTCGACCTTTTGTTTTCACAAGAAGATGAATTTTCCATGACATATGCTTCAGCGACATGGACACTAACAGAAAAGAATCAAATTTTATTTTGGGAATTTTTAAAAGAAATATTTTAAGAAAAATATTTGGTGTAGTAATTCTCGACGAAAAGATTCAAGTATGAGTATCAGAAGATTTTAAAGGGTAGTAAATACATCAAAATCAATAAAAGGTGATTTGGCATACATATTAAAATGTTTGCTAGAACAAAAAAAGTCAGTAAGCTCCAAATGTTTTAACCATAAGGCAACAGTGAGCAGAATACATTGAAGCTCAAAATGAGAACTAGAAGCTGAAAACTGTTTTAAGCTCATAAGTAATCGAATTTAGAAGACCCTTACAGAAAGGAGGACATATTCGATGAATGCTCTGAAGAATGTGTTGGTCAACTAGGAGCTCTTGTACCGTTGATGGTGATAGGGGGACGATAATTTTTAACCTTTTGCGGTCGTATGTCCACTCTCAGCCACCAAAGCATTTTTCGTTCCAGTCGTATGTCTGCTCTCAGCCACCGCAGCATTTTTACCCTTCCAAGTCTGCTCTCAACCACCTTTTACCATTCCAAACGTATGTCTGCTCACAGCCACTAGAACAATGATACTGCTCTTATATTCTGCTTAGTTGATAAGCTTCGTAATCTTGCGTATTGTGTATTACTGTTCATTCAACGAAAATTAATTCCGACCATCGTGATAGCTATGTGTAAACTTAATACGACCTCAAAGGGTTAAACCATTGTTGTTATGCTTAAATGCAATAAGTCTTTATATTAGCTATGAACTATGTCGTTTCGTAGCTTAATCCCTTGATGCCTATTTAGTTGGGTAGAATTCCTGTCGCAGCATACACCAATAACTATTAAATTCAATGTAGAATCGGTTAACCGTTGAAACTTAAAAGAGTTTTTCATCTTAAATTGGAATACAACTTTTAGAAAGAAATTTTTGAACCTTTAAAACTTTTAAATTAAAAAAAAAAATTATAAAAATACCTACTCCTGGTACCATAGGATTAAACTTCTTGAATGGGGAGTACTGTTGTAAGTTTTTGGTTCTTTTAGTGCCTTTGTGCTTGAGTTTTTCTGTTTTGGTCATCATGCCGAACATTCTTTGCCTGTTGCTTAAGAGCCTTTTCCACGGCTTTATCATTCCTGGAGAAAGAAAGCTTTTGGCAATTTTCTTTTGTTGTCTCTTTCTCGAAATAATAAAGAAAGTCTTTATTTATACTTTTGGGAGCTCTGAGTTGTCCGACATATAAAAGTCTTAAGAAAGAAAGTAAATAAAAATGGATGGAGAAAAGTAACCGATTACTTAAAATTACTGCCTTTTTGATGTGTGTTGGGCAAGCACTTACTGGAGCCACCCGACCAGTTTGCTGAAGACCGAGGCTACCGTATTTCGCATAGGCCTACAGAACGCATCACTGAATAGAAGAGGGGCCCCCAATTTCTTCCCTTACGTAGACGGAACCAATTGTCATAAGCTCACGAATTACTTCGGCCC